GTGGCTGGGTGTGCACGTGGCCAGGGTCCACTGCACCTGTGTGGAAGGCAGCGGTGGCTGGGTGTGCACGTGGCCAGGGTCCACTGCACCTGTGTGGAGGGCAGTGGTGGCTGGGTGTGCACGTGGCCAGGGTCCACTGCACCTGTGTGGAGGGCAGAGGTGGCTGGGTGTGCAGTGTCCAGGGCCCACTTCACCTGTGTGGAGGGCAGTGGTGGCTGGGTGTGCACGTGGCCAGGGCCCACTTCACCTGTGTGGAGGGCAGTGGTGGCTGGGTGTGCACGTGGCCAGGGCCCACTTCACCTGTGTGGAGGGCAGTGGTGGCCGGGTGTGCATGGCCAGGGCCCACCGCACCTGTGTGGAGGGCAGTGGTGGCCGGGTGTGCACGTGGCCAGGGTCCACTGCACCTGTGTGGAGGGCAGTGGTGGCTGGGTGTGCACGTGGCCAGGGTCCACTGCACCTGTGTGGAAGGCAGCGGTGGCTGGGTGTGCACGTGGCCAGGGTCCACTGCACCTGTGTGGAGGGCAGTGGTGGCTGGGTGTGCACGTGGCCAGGGTCCACTGCACCTGTGTGGAGGGCAGAGGTGGCTGGGTGTGCAGTGTCCAGGGCCCACTTCACCTGTGTGGAGGGCAGTGGTGGCTGGGTGTGCACGTGGCCAGGGCCCACTTCACCTGTGTGGAGGGCAGTGGTGGCTGGGTGTGCACGTGGCCAGGGCCCACTTCACCTGTGTGGAGGGCAGTGGTGGCTGGGTGTGCACGTGGCCAGGACCCACTTCACCTGTGTGGAGGGCAGTGGTGGCTGGGTGTGCATGGCCAGGGCCCACCGCACCTGTGTGGAGGGCAGTGGTGGCTGGGTGTGCACGTGGCCAGGGCCCACTTCACCTGTGTGGAGGGCAGTGGTGGCTGGGAGTGCACGTGGCCAGGGCCCACTTCACCTGTGTGGAGGGCAGCGGTGGCCGGGTGTGCACGTGGCCAGGGCCCACTTCACCTGTGTGGAGGGCAGCGGTGGCTGGGTGTGCACGTGGCCAGGGCCCACTGCACCTGTGTGGAGGGCAGCGGTGGCTGGGTGTGCACGTGGCCAGGGCCCACTTCACCTGTGTGGAGGGCAGTGGTGGCTGGGTGTGCACGTGGCCAGGGCCCACTGCACCTGTGTGGAGGGCAGTGGTGGCTGGGTGTGCACGTGGCCAGGGTCCACTGCACCTGTGTCCGTGTGCACTAGAGAAGGAGCTTTCACAGGCACAGTCTACATTCTAGACACATCTCATAGGAAACTGTTGAGGGTGCATTGTCCCTGTTTCCTGGAGCGCGGGGACTCAGAAGGGAGACTGCGGGACCGGAGCCCACAGCCAGGCTGCTGTTCCTGAGACGGCAGGCGTGGATTTACTCTGGGTGATCACCACCCCGACCACACATGGCGCCCTTCTTCTCGTCCCACTGTGGAGCTGTCCTTCAATCACTGCAAGAAAGACAACCGGACCCCAACGGCGAGTTCACTAAGACACCACAGCACCTATCTGTTTTCTGGGCAGCAGAGGTGTTTCCTTCTCTCTGTCTGTTGTTGGAATACTCTGAACTTTATGAAGCTAAATAATCTGTTTTTAACTCAGCGCTCTCAAAGCTTATGCACTGCAAGGAGCCAGGAGGAAGAAACTGGAGCTGAGCAGACGGCACAGGCAGTGGTGCGCAGGTGAGGAGATTTGGGAAGAGCGAGCCGGGGGAGGGGAAAGGTCCCCGGGATGTGATTGTGGGAGGAGGAGGGGGCTTCACTCAGCAGCTGGTGAGGCGCCACGAATGGGAAATCTCTGGAGCTTCTTCAAACTCAGCCCCACAGAGACCTACGCAGACAGCAGTCGGAAAGCCTGTCTCCTGCCCGCTGCGGTTCTCAACTGGAGACTCCTGTGTGCAGCCCACCCGCTCCTGGCGCAGGGGCTCCTGCTGGCCCTGAGACCGCCCTGGGCAAGGAGCAGGCGACAGTGAGAGCCACTGCTGGTGCCCGTCGGGCTCCCGAGACTCCCTTAGTTTTAATGACTCTGAGAACCAGCTGTGACATTTGTTCACACAATCCCTGACCCAGAGAAAAACCATTATAATCTAATTTACACCATCTTGCGCCGCCGTATCAATAATATTCCCTCCCTAGAAAAACTGGATGTGATGCATATTTAGACAAGAGAATCTGCCCAGTGAATCACTTCAGAGATGAGAAGGAAGCCGTGTGTGAAATGAGAGTTAGATGTTCCCAGAACCACTTCACGGGCTCCAGGACACTATTCTGATAAAGGGCCAGTGGCACAGGGGCCTGTGCGCACACTCCGGCTGCCCGCAATAGGCCGCTCTCGGGGAGCTCCAGGGATGCCAGGGGAGGGGCCGTGTGGGTCCCTGGGAGGGGAGGGGAGGGGCCGTGTGGGTCCTTGGGAGGGGAGGGGAGGGGCCGTGTGGGTCCCTGGGATGGAGGGGAGGGGCCGTGTGGGTCCCTGGGATGGAGGGGAGGGGCCGTGTGGGTCCCTGGGAGGGGAGGGGAGGGGCCGTGTGGGCACGCTCCTGCTGCCCATCCCGGGGTGGGGGGCTGTGAGCATGCTCCTGTGGCTCACCTCAGGCCCTCCCCAGGGGCTCCTGGGATGCCAGGGGAGGGGCCCTGTGAGCACACTCTTGCTGGCCTGCCTCAGGCCCATCCTGAGGAGGAGGAATCCTGGGATGCCAGGGGAGGGCCCGTGTGGGTCCATGGGATGGAGGGGAGGGGGGGCCCTGTGACCACAATCCTGCTGCCCGCCTCAGGCCCATGGTGGGAGGGGCTCCTGGGATGTCATGGGAGGGTCCGAGCAGGTCCCTGGGATGGAAGGGGAGGGGCCGTGTGGGTCTATGGGATGGAAGGGGAGGGGCCATGTGGGTCCATGAGATGGAGGGGAGAGGCCGTGTGGGTCCCTGGGATGGAGGGGAGGGGCCGTGTGGGTCCCTGGGATGGAGGGGAGGGGCCGTGTGGGTCCCTGGGATGGAGGGGAGGGGCCGTGTGGGTCCCTGGGATGGAGGGGGGGCCGTGTGGGTCCATGGGATGGAGGGGGGGCCGTGTGGGTCCATGGGATGGAAGGGGGGGCTGTGTGGGTCCCTAGGAGGGGAGAGAAGGGGAGGGGCCGTGTGTGTCCCTAGGATGGAGGGGAGGGGCCATGTGTGTCCCTAGGATGGAGGGGAGGGGCCGTGTGAGTCCCTGGGATGGAGGGGAGGGGCCATGTGGGTCCATGGGATGGAGGGGAGGGGCCGTGTGGGTCCCTGGGATGGAGGGGAGGGGCTGTACGGGTCCCTGGGATGGAGGGGAGGGGCCATGTGGGTCCATGGGATGTAGGGGGGGCCGTGTAAGTCCATGGGATGGAGGGGGGAGCTGTGTGTGTTCCTAGGAGGGGAGGGGAGGGGCCATCCTAGGGAGGGGCTGTGTGGGTCCCTGGGATGGAGGGGAGGGACCATATGGGTCCCTGGGATGGAGGGGAGGGGCCGTGTGGGTCCCTGGGATGGAGGGGGGGCCGTGTGGGTCCATGGGATGGAAGGGGGGGCTGTGTGGGTCCCTAGGAGGGGAGGGGAGGGGCCGTGTGAGTCCCTGGGATGGAGGGGAGGGGCCATGTGGGTCCATGGGATGGAGGGGAGGGGCCGTGTGGGTCCCTGGGATGGAGGGGAGGGGCTGTACGGGTCCCTGGGATGGAGGGGAGGGGCCATGTGGGTCCATGGGATGTAGGGGGGGCCGTGTAAGTCCATGGGATGGAGGGGGGAGCTGTGTGTGTTCCTAGGAGGGGAGGGGAGGGGCCATCCTAGGGAGGGGCTGTGTGGGTCCCTGGGATGGAGGGGAGGGGCCGTGTGGGTCCCTGGGATGGAGGGGGGGCCGTGTGGGTCCATGGGATGGAGGGGGGGCCATGTGGGTCCATGGGATGGAAGGGGGGGCTGTGTGGGTCCCTAGGAGGGGAGGGGAGGGGCCGTGTGAGTCCCTGGGATGGAGGGGAGGGGCCATGTGGGTCCATGGGATGGAGGGGAGGGGCCGTGTGGGTCCCTGGGATGGAGGGGAGGGGCTGTGCGAGTCCCTGGGATGGAGGGGAGGGGCCATGTGGGTCCATGGGATGTAGGGGGGGCCGTGTAAGTCCATGGGATGGAGGGGGGAGCTGTGTGTGTTCCTAGGAGGGGAGGGGAGGGGCCATCCTAGGGAGGGGCTGTGTGGGTCCCTGGGATGGAGGGGAAGGACCATGTGGGTCCATGGGATGTAGGGGGGGCTGTGTGGGTCCATGGGATGGAGGGGTGCTGTGTGGGTCCCTAGGAGGGGAGGGGAGGGGAGGGGCCGTGTGTGTCCCTAGGATGGAGGGGAGGGGCCGTGTGAGTCCCTGGGATGGAGGGGAGGGGCCATGTGGGTCCATGGGAGGGGAGGGGAGGGGCATTTTGGCTCAGCCCCCAGCTGCCTGCAGACAGAATGCGGAGACGTGAGTCCTGAGCGTCAATGGTAAGGGCAGAGCGTCCCCAGACATTGTCGTGGAGCCGCTCACACTCTCGCCTGATGCCCTGTTACGGTGACACTGAAATCACGCATCTGTGTGCATATAGCTAAGACTTCCTGACAACAACGGATCTTTGAATTCTCAGGCTTACATAAAGAATTCAGTTGAAAGGAGTGTATTCTTCAAAGAGATCTCTTTGGGGTGTTTCTGAAAATAAGGCTTTGGATGTAACTGCAAAGCTACTTAAGAACCATGAAAGAAAATAAATGTACAACAAAACACCTCTCCATCTGCACCCAGGTATGCACTATCAATAAAGACGCATTCACGTTTAAATGCCGGCACTTCGGCCTCCTACACCAAATGCTACACAAACTATCCTTGGTGATTTACGACACGTGGTGCGCAGCAGATTCCCTTCTAAGATGAAGGAGAGCACAGGAGAAAGCAGCGCTTCAGAGCCCCCTGCCATCTGGGCGACTGCCACAGGCAAAGCCGATGCGGCACCCCAGCTCCCGGCGTTCCCGGCGCGTCTCACCTGTGGTGGGCCTGACGGCTGAGGTCATGTCGCAGGGCGTGAGTGCGGGGACACACTCATCGTCCTGGGAGTAGCCAGCTTGAATGGCGCGCAGGTAGCTGTGGCTCCTGGTGCGGAAACACCCGGGGAGGTCGAGGGCGTCCATGGCCTGGGACTCTACCTCACTGAAGACTGACTCACAGACCGACTCCAGATGCCCATTCACCTCGGCCTCGCTCATCTGGAATAAGAACGGCACAGCTGAGGGCGGCCCAGCCAGGGCTGTCCCAGAGGTCAGCAGCCACTGCCGCCCTAGGCCCGCGGTCAGCACAGCTCGTCTGACACCAGCACTGGGGATCCGCTGGGCCTGGAGACACTCCCTGGGTCACTCCCCGCGAAAGCAGACGAGCAGCCGCCTCAGGACAGCCAGGGCTCCCTGGCCCCAGGGGGCAGGTGCTCAGGCAGCTGCCATGCTCCGTGAGGTCAGCGATGCCGTTGTGCTGGGGACAGCAGTGGAGTGGGCCTGGCTGTGCTGTGAGCACATAGGTAAGAGTGTGGCTGCTGTGTTCTTGGCCACGGAAACCACTCACAAACGTGGGGGACATGGGGGACATGCGCTTGCAGCTCACACCAAGGCAGCTGGCCTCAGTACAGGGGCGAGGGGACGGGGGCATGGCGCTAATGCCTGCACAAAGCCACCTGCAGCCCCAACCCTGCAGGGCCTCCCCATCAGGCCTGGGGTAGGGAGTGCACGCGTCAGTGGATGGCTGAGCAGATGTGGGCGTTGTTTCTCCACTCTGGGAACTAAAAGCCCCTGGCTGTGGGCGCAGGTGGCACAGGGGTGGGGGCTCCCAGGGCCGGACCCTCGCTGAGCCAAGGGCCTTTGCCTAGGGCAGCGACTGGGAAATGTGGGCCTCCCGGAGGTCCCACGTGGTCCCTGTGAACCCACTTGAGACGTTTCATGTGGAAACCCATGGCTGGGACATGACGAGACCAGGGCGGAGAGGCTGAGCCTGGGCTGGAAGCAGCAGACACCCACAGGCCCCAGGGCAGGAGGCCGCGCTCAACTGCTCTGCTCGGGCTGTTCGCACGGTGGGAACCAGGTACGACTCGTTTCCCGATGCTGGGGGTGTCTGCCGGGGCGGGGAGAGGATGGCTGCTCCAAGCAGCGCAGGCCGCAGCATGAGCGAGGGGCCCCCGGGCTGAGGACGAGGGCTCTGAGGATTTCCGACTGCGCAGAGACAGACAGTCCAGGGGAGAAGGTGGGCGAAAACCGGAGACCCTCGTACCAGTGCAAAGACGGCTTTTTGTGTTCCACAGACTTCTTCCAGCCTGAGTGTTCACCTGTGTGGACTTAGACCCCCGCGGCTGCAGCCACTCCTCCCAGGGGGGACCCTGCCCTGCCCCGTGACCTCTGCCCTCGAGGAGACGCCAGGAACACGCAGGTGCCTGTCCCAAGTGCGAGTCTGAGGCTCCGGCCAGGCCCCTGCGGAGCCACCAGCCATGGACACTCCCTGGGCAGCCCAGGGATGGGGTGGGTCCCCTTCCCCCAAACATGACAGGTGCCAGGAAGGCTGGGATCGCAAGCTGGCCCAGCAGGGGAGGGCGGCCTGGTCTCCAGACGGCTCTGCTGAGCCGGCTCACCCTGGGGCTTCCAGACAAGGCCGGCCGTGGCCATCGTCCACGTGGCTGATGCCTCTCAGAACTGGGACTCAAGTTGCTCCCAGACAGATGCAGGAGAAACGGGTGAGGGGCAGGATCCAGGACGAGGAAGCCGAGCGAGCGTCTCGGGGACCCCACGGGCGTGACACTGTGGGGACGCAACAGCGTAACTGCTGAGAGTGAGTATGGAGCCCAGCCCCTCCCGGTTATGCACCAGGGACCTGAATGTCGGCTGTGGACACGAGTGCAGGCTGCACACCCAGCAGCACTGGTCAGCGGCTAGGGGAGGCCCCGTGTCCACTGATAGAGATGGACACACACAGTGTGGGGTCAGCGGCTAGCGGAAGCCCCCGTGTCCACCGACAGAGGTGGACACACACAGTGTGGGGTCAGCAGCTAGGGGAGGCCTCCGTGTCCACTGACAGATGGACGCACACACAGTGTGGGATAAGCAGCTAGGGGAGGCCGCCGTGTCCACTGACAGAGATGGGCACACACACTGTGGGATCAGCAGCTAAGGGAGGCCTCCGTGTCCACTGACAGATGGACACACAGTGTGGGGTCAGCGGCTAGGGGAGGCCTCCGTGTCCACTGACAGAGATGGACACACAGTGTGGGGTCAGCGGCTAGGGGAGGCCTCCGTGTCCACTGAGAGATGGACACACAGTGTGGGGTCAGCGGCTAGGGGAGGCCGCCGTGTCCACTGACAGAGATGGGCACACACACTGTGGGATCAGCAGCTAAGGGAGGCCTCCGTGTCCACTGACAGATGGACACACAGTGTGGGGTCAGCGGCTAGGGGAGGCCCCCGTGTCCACTGACAGAGATGGACACACAGTGTGGGGTCAGCGGCTAGGGGAGGCCCCCGTGTCCACTGAGAGATGGACACACAGTGTGGGGTCAGCGGCTAGGGGAGGCCCCCGTGTCCACTGACAGAGATGGACACACAGTGTGGGGTCAGCGGCTAGGGGAGGCCTCCGTGTCCACTGAGAGATGGACACACAGTGTGGGGTCCACCTGTACACTGGAGCATCCTCCAGCCACGACAGGACAGAGACGACGCACGACTCCATGGGAGTGCACGGGGCTCAGGAACAGCCACATCGGCAGACGGACAGCCACCGACGGGCCGGCACGGCACCAGCACAGAGCTCCCTGCGGGAAGAGGGCGTTCTGGGCGTGGACACAGCCCGTCAGCTGAGGGACAGTAGCAAGGCTCTTATGTCCCCGAGTGGGCACTGGCATACAGTGGAGCCCGTGAGTGTATGTTGTGGGTTCTTTATCGCGGTCTTCTCAGACGCACCAAAACCAGGCATCCAGACAATGCACTCTGGAGCCCTGAGTGCTCACTCAGCGTGTGCACTGTGCACTGTGCCCTATTACCAGCACTGTGCAGTACTGAGGGAGGGACAGGGCTCTCATGCAGAGTGCTCACTGCGCACTAGTACCAGCACTGTGCCGTACTGAGGGAGGGACAGGGCTCTCATGCAGAGTGCTCACTGTGCACTGTGCACTAGTACCAGCACTGTGCAGTACTGAGGGAAGGACACAGCTCCCGCGCTCTCAGTACTTACTCAGCATGTGCACTGTGCACTGTGCCCTAGTACCACCACAGTGCAGTACTGAGGGAGGGACAGGGCTCTCATGCAGAGTGCTCACTGTGCACTAGTACCAGCACTGTGCAGTACTGAGGGAGGGACACAGCTCCCGCGCTCTCAGTACTTACTCAGCATGTGCACTGTGCACTGTGCCCTAGTACCAGCACTGTGCAGTACTGAGGGAGGGACAGGGCTCTCATGCAGAGTGCTCACTGTGCACTGTGCACTAGTACCAGCACTGTGCAGTACTGAGGGAAGGACACAGCTCCCGCGCTCTCAGTACTTACTCAGCATGTGCACTGTGCACTGTGCCCTAGTACCACCACAGTGCAGTACTGAGGGAGGGACAGGGCTCTCATGCAGAGTGCTCACTGTGCACTGTGCACTGGTACCAGCGCTGTGCAGCACTGAGGTGGGGACACGGCTCTTGTGCACTGAGTGCTCACTCTGTACTGTGCACTAGTACCACCACTCTGCAGTACTGAGGAGAGGGCACAGCTCTGGTGCTCTCAGTACTTACTCAGCGTGTGCACCTGGATCCTGTGGGTCGTTTGCCCCTCGATTTCTCCAAGTCCTGTGAGCGGGCAGTACACCAGCCAGGCCTCGCCTCAGACCCATGGATGCCGTCTGTGCCGGGTCATCTTCCCACAGAGCCAGCAGTGAGTGCTTCCCCGTCCTGGTGGCACCACACCTGCTGTGTGCCGATGTCCACGCTGTCGTCTGCCCAGCTCCTACTGCGTGCTGGCACAGTGCCCCCAGGCCCCGGTGGCACCACGCAGGGTCCTGTGTCACACTGCAGGTCCATGTGAGCCCTTTACGAGGAGGTTACCGTGGGGAAGCACCGTGCCTGTTTCTAACTCATGTGAGGTTCCGGTAGCGCGCTGCACTCGGGGCCCTGGGCCCAGCCGTGCCCACTGCGCTGCAGCCACACAGTCTCAGTGAGCCCCGGGCAGCACACTGGGCCTCACCCTCTCTCCTGCTCATCTCCATCACGTTCCCGCCGGGCGCCTCCGTGGCTGGCAGGGGAACGTGCCCTGGCTCGCATTAGCCTGGGGCAGTGCTGAGCGCACCAGCCCGCCCTCTGGAAGCCGGAGCCCTCCCTGGGCCGGGTTTTGTCAGAAGATGACCCAGCACAGACGGCCTGTGTGGGCCACAAGCAGGGCCTGGTCACGGGACTCAGGAGATCAGCGGGGAGACAACCCCGTCTTACAACGTCAGAACAGCTAACCTCTAAAGCTCCCAGATCCGTGGTCGGAGCCAAATACAGGCTCACGGTCTTTGCCCCTGGGATGCTGACCAGTGCCCAGCTGGACCGCAGAGCGGACGCAAGGGATCCCCACCTGGCTCACGCAGCTGGCCTGGCTCAGGGTGCTGACGGCCCGCATGTAGCTCTGGTTCCTGGAGCGGAACTTGGGGGAGTTGTGGTTGGCACAGGGGTCCAGGCTGTGGCCAACAGGCACGTCGCTGGCAGCTTGCAGGTAGCTCTGGCTGCAAGACAAGATGGGAGAGAGGCGTCTTAGAGCAGAAGGGGCTGCGGCCGGTGCAGACATCGGGGTCACCCTGCCTCAGACACGCCGGGCTGTCCCGGAAGCACCAGGGGACCCGAGCGGCACAGCTGCTGTGCCACCTGGTTCTCACGGCCAGGGAGACATCAAGCTGACCAGAGCTCGGCACAGAGGCACCACGAGCGCACACAGCAGACTGGACTCGGAATCTAGCCCCAGGCTCCAAGAGCCCCCAAAACTCAGGCGGGTGTTTTGGCAGCTTCACGGAGTTGGCACGCAGAGAACACGGAGGCTGGCGTTCAGCAGTCACTGCGTGCGGCGTGCTCTGGTTCATGGCCCTCAGAGCTGACGCAGAGTCACCTCTGCTCTGTGAGCACAAGGACCATTTTCTCCCACGATCCCTGGGAACACAGTGCTTGTCGCTGGGAGGACCCTGGGTGTGGGGACAGCCAGGCCAGCCCTTGTCACCGCTGACCTCTTCATGGTGCAGCCACGGCTGGAGCTCCGTGTGCAGCTGCTGCTACTTGCCCCTGACACAGCCCCACAGAGCCAGGCCCCTGGGCCAGCACGGCGGGCCATCACCCATGCTCAGCCTTCCCAAAGTCAACTCTCGGCACACTGTTTCCCTGTGATCTGCGTCCGTCTTTAGAAAATGGGAAAAACGTGGGTACGTGGACTGTGGTTGGGCAAAGCCCTTAAGGCCAGAGTGGAAGGCACACTGCCTGCTGTCAGTGATTCCCTCCCCAGAGAGGGAGGGTTGGGGCTCCTGGCTGCTGCCCACCTCTCCCACTGTAGCACAGCAGCCCCAGGCTGGGGACAATGCTGGTTCCAGCAGGCCATGGGCGCTGCCCCCGGCCTCCTCCTCAGTCCCCTAGGCTGTGCCAGTAGGACAAGGGGACCAACATGGACCCCACTCCAGCCTGACCAGGCTCACGGGGTAGCAGACAGCACCAGGCTCAAGTTGGCTTAGATGAGTGGACTCTCTGTGGTCCCGTGAGGCCATATCCTGCTTTCCTCACACATACGTGTGTGTCCCTGTGAGGCCATGGCTCACTTGTCTTGCACACACATGTGTGTCTGTGTGCATTTAATAAAGCATCACGTGCAGAACAGGCATGTACATGTGTGACATGTTAGCTTAAAACAGTATCACATGTGATCCGTGTGCAGGGGAGTGCTGAGTGTGTGAGCGTGCATGTGAAGGCATTGCGTGCAGGGACGGCATGTATGTGTGTGTATGTGAGGTACGTGAGTTTAATACCGCATCATGTACGAGGAAGGTGTGTGTGCACGTGTGTGTGATGTGAGTTTAAAACAGCATGGTGTGCAGGGAAGCCATGTGTGTGTGGACGTATGTGAGTTAAACAAGCATCGCGTGCAGGGACGGTGTGCATGTGCCGTGCACACGTGCATGGTGATGTATGCGAGGGAAGGCACAGGGGTGAGCTGAGCCCCGTGCGGGCTCGGCCCGACCCACCTCCGCCTCTGCACGTCCCTTCCCCGGAGAAGCTGCCACGCCCTGTGCTTCCCCAGTCGCACCGACATCTGTTTCCTCCCAACACAGCCTCCTCTGTCTCCTTAGACGGGGAATCGGAAGGAAGACTGCCAGTCACCAGGCCTGGCGCCGTGAGCGAGGGGCACGCTGACGCACACACATGGGCCACTTCTGTGGCTCCGTGTCAAACCGCCCTCAAGGCATGCTCCGGGCTCTGAGTCGGCTGCAGGCGAAGCAGGCACACTGTGCCTCCACCACCTGCCTCAGGGAGCCCAGTGTCCGGCTGCTGTGCAGGCCGTGGCAGCTGCCCACGGGCTCCGTGTGGGAGTCGCACCAGCCCTCTACACCCCACCTGATGCCAACAGCATCGGAGTCCACACGGCCTGCCCAGGGCTTCACAGCCACGGCCTCTCTTCCCTTCCCCAGCTACCGTGGGGTAGCTGGTCTGGTCCCAACCCAGCCGACACTGCTGATCCTGACCCTGTGGGCCAGCTGCCCTTGGGCTCCTCCAGGTGACTAGGTGCCCCCACTTTCCCATGTCCGGCAGGTTGGCAATGGCACAACCACAGCCAAGCTCCCTCCAGGGGGCACACCCGGAAGGCACTCACTGAGACCCTGGCAGAGAGAGGCAGTGGCAGCTCGAGAGGGGAGGGGCGGCCACAAGTCCACTTGGCTTTAGAAAGGGAAAACGGGATCTCTGCAAAGATGCTCAGAGGCGGGGAGCGGTCAGCAGCCACCCATATGTGCCTGGAGCCCCAAGGCTCTGCCACGTGTGACGCGGCCACTGTGTACAAATCACCACTGTGTCCCCGCCGTGCTCAGAGAGCAATGCGACACGGCTTCCGGTGCCTTGTCGCCATCTCGTCCGCCCACAGCTCCGGCCACACTCGGAGGAGGCTTGGGTGACAGTGACACCAGGTGCACCTGCCTTGGGTCTCCCAGCCGTGCTGAGTGACGTCATCTGTCCTAGTGTTTGCTCTGTGGTTCCCCAGGTTGTCTGTGTAAACAGTCACAGGACTGAGCAAATGTGAACAAAGTCCTGCATGGTCCATCTTGCGCCCACCCTTCCTCCACTGGATTGCTAAGCGCAATGGTGAGCGCTGACGTCCTTGTTTCCTGCTGACCTAGCGAGAGTGTGAATCTGTCCCCAGCTCCGTGCTCCAGGGCAGCATTTCCTCGCAGTCCTCGCTTGCTGAGTGGTCTTCTTCCGTGCGATGGTCATGTCTCGTCTCACGTCCGTGTGATCGCAGCTTTCCTACCTCACTCACCGATGCGGCAGGCCTCTGGCCAAGCTCTGTCACCTGATTCTTGAGTTCTATCTGGTCATGCATAAAACATACAAACTACTAGGTTTGGGCTGTTAGTTTTTTAATGATTTTTGAGAAATGTGGGCCACCAATGTCCTGTTCTGGTGAACTCTGGTATCAGAGCGGGGCTGCTCCCTCACACTCCACCGCGGGTCTGTGTAGGATTTGTTATTTCTTCCATCACGGCCAGAGCTTTCTCTGCGGGAATGTTTCTAACAAATCAGATTTTTTAAATTCATCCCAAGAGCCGTCCTTAGTTTTCTTTCCGGTGTCAGTTTTCCCAGGTGTTTTCTTCGAGGAACGGGAGTGCTACAGAATTTATTGACATGGATTTTCTACTCTTTTTCTTGCCTTTTCAAGTCTGTGAGGGCCACCAACTTGTCCCACAGATGTCGGGGTCCCCTGCCTGGCCCCAGACCGTCTGGGCTCCTGTCTCCTCGTTCTGGCAGCCCTGCGCCCCGCGCTGCCACCCACAGAGACGACGCGGCTGCTCGCTGTGCCTGCTGCTCCCGCCACACGGAGGGGAGAAAGCTTCGCTGATGTCACCGAGCGGGGCTCTCTGTTAGAACGCCAGCATCCCCCACTGTCTGCCTCTGCTCTCAAACAGGCTCACCGGGAGCTGTGGCTCTCACGTGTCACTGAGCTAAGCATTTGCCACGTGTGTGGGGAGTATGCCTTGTCCATTGTTCACTGCTATGCTTGGTGGATTCTTTGGGGAGACCCCTCCTCTGGGGCTGAAGCTGGACCCCCGGATCCCCAAGCTAAGGGGAAAACTGACGAGCTGCTCCAAGGACACCCAATTCCCCAGACCCTGGGGCGAAAGCCATGGTGGGAACCCACCTGTGGGGCAGTGGCCAAGCACGTGGCTCATAGGGTGGCTGCCCACTCCCCAGGACCCCCTCCCTTGTCCTGCGCCCCTGCAGCTGGCAGCTCTGCCTTCAGCACACTCCCATGGAGTGGAGGCTGCAGGCTGGGCCACCTCCCCACATGGCGCGTGCTCCCCGGAGTCTACTTTCCGTTCTGCCAGAGGGGGCTGCCGAGAGCTGCGTGCACACCACCCGCCCCCGTGCTGGGTGCAGGTCCCCGGCATCACCCACAGCACGCTGTGCCTCTGCAAGGCCCTGTTTCTACCGAGACCCCCACTGATCCCGGCCTCTGCAGTCACACAGGAAGAGCGGTGCTGACTCCCGGGCCGGGCAGTGGCTGCAGCAGCAGGTGCCGGCTCCACCGATGACACGGAACAGGACTGAGGTCGCTAAGGAACGCCGTTCCCTGCGATCTACTCTGAGAGGCAGCTCAAGGAGGAGGCCGGCATGAGGGAGCCACGCGCGGACAGGAGGAGAAGGTCAGCAGGGGCTGCAGCAGAGGGACTGGCCTGGGGCGGAGGCGGTCACCCGGCTCGGCCAGACGAGTCCCTGCCCAGCCTGGGACGGAGGCGGTCACTGCTTCACCAACGCCAGCGGGAGGCTCAGCGGAACTCGGCTTTCTCAAGGACAGGCTCGCTCCCGAGGACTAATGTCCTCTTGTAAAAATGCTTTTTCTCAGACTGCTTCAGATCTCACCATCTCAGACAGATGGGAGGGCAGGGCAGCAAGGCTGCACTGTGGACTAGGAATCCGGCTCCTGTCTGAGGGGGAGACTCAGAGCTCAGAACGAGAGTGTGCGTGCTCCTTCTCCCCCGGCCTGGACACCCGGCATCAACCCCACGCGAGAGGGCCCTCAGGACACACGCAAGGCGCTGCTTCTGACCGGAGAAGGCTCCAGAAGCCTCTGAGGTCAAAGAAGAGCAAAGGGATTCCTAAGTGAAGGCTAACTTTGGTGTAAATGTCTGTGCTCACGTACTAAGGCAGGCGCTCGACATTCAAGGGAAGGCCGACTCTGCGTCCACGTGCACACGTACTAAGGCAGGCACTCGACATTCAAGGGAAGGCCGACTCTGCGTCCACGTGCACACGTACTAAGGCAGGCACTCGACATTCAAGGGAAGGCTGACTCTGCGTCCACGTGCACACGTACTAAGGCAGGCGCTCGACATTCAAGCTGCATCACCACATGTTGTACCCACTTTGTAACCTCAGGGTTTCCCACAGATTAAATACTGAGGTATCGGAGAACAGAGTGACCCCGCACCCAAGCATGTACCAACACCAACAGCTGGGTCCCCGTTAAAACTTGTCAGGA